GAGAGGAGAGGAGAGGAGAGGAGAGGAGAGGAGAGGAGAGGAGAGGAGAGGAGAGGAGAGAGAGGAGAGGAGAGGAGAGGAGAGGAGAGGAGAGGAGAGGAGAGGAGAGGAGAGGAGAGTTAATCGGGATCAAACCCTCTGGGATTATTCGTGCTTCCAAACTGGACCGGGGCTCTGAAGTGGAGAAACCACAACGCTTTGCGGGGCTGCTGCTCCTTTTTCTTGATATTTTTTTTTTCTTTATTTAATGAATTTGGCTCGGTGTCCCAACCCGGAGCCGAAACCCGAAACTCTCCTGTTTCAGGGCTTTTGGCGCACGCTCCGAACATCTGGCACAGCTGTTCCTGTGACCCCCGGGCAGCAGCGCAGCCCCGCTCCTGTTCCCGTCCCAAAGGGAGCCGACACCACCGGCAATGAGGCAGCGCTGCCCGAGCCTGGAGAGATCGGAGAAAGGATGGGCAGGATCCAGAGTGATCCCATTTTCCCAGGGAAAAAAAAAAAAAATAATAAAAAAGCAGGAATGAGGCAAAGCAGCAGGCACAGCTTCTGGAGATCCATGGAAAGAACCTCCTCCTGCTTCTCTTTGAATTCTTCCTTATTTTAAATTCAGCTGCCATAAATGCCCCGAAATGGGGACTTTTGCACCTCCACTTGAATGGGATTTGTGGAACTGGTTCGACCACGGGGATCCTGTGCCTGGATGGATCCATGGATCTATGCAAGCTGGATTTCCTTGCCTGGAAAAACCACAGAGCTGAGAGCCCTTCCCAGAAAAGATCCCGGGGGTGGCAGAGGGAGCCCCAAACGTGCTCATGATCCAAATAATCCCAGCTCGGATCAGCCACAGCTGATCTCTAAACCCTTGGGTTTATTCTAAACTGCAGGAACTTGTCGCTTTTTTATCTGGAAATCTTTCTGCACTCAACTTTCCCGATTTCCCTTCAGCTCTAAGGTTTAAGAGCCCTGCTGCACTTTCATCCCCGAAACACGCAGAGCTTTAATTGTCTCTGGGATGGGGGATAATCAATCCTGCAGCGTGTTAATCCTCGTTACGTGCCCTTTAGAACCGAGATTGAATCAGGCATTAGGGTGCCTCCTCCCGTTATGAAATCTGAAAAACAGGATTGAGTTTGGAGCAGGGAGGAGTGGGGTGAGGAAAACCGCGAAACACTTAAAAACTGGGGTTTGGGGCGCAGCAGAAGGTTTGACTGGGCGATTTTCCGAGGGGAACGGCGCAGGTGAGGGGAGCTGAGGAGGCGGCAGGCGAGGTTTGGGGCAGGGAGGGATTTGGGATTTGCATGTGCCTACGTGAGCGCAGGGATGAGTCCCGGGGCAGGAGGGAGGCACCGGCAGCGCAGGGAGAGGTGAGAGCCGGGGCAGGAGCGAGGGATCCCTGCCAGCCCCATCCCCATCCCCATCCCCATCCCCATCCCCATCCCCATTCCCCATCCCCATCCCCATCCCCATCCCCATTCCCATCCCCATTCCCCATCCCCATCCCCATTCCCCATTCTCATCCCCATTCCTATCCCCATCCCCATTCCCATTCCCCATTCCCCATTCTCATCCCCATCCCCATTTCCCATTCCCATCCCCATTCCCATCCCCATTCCCATCCCCATCCCCCTTCCCCATTCCCCATTCCCATCCCCATTCCCATCCCCATTCCCATTCCCATCCCCATTCCCAT